CTCTCCCTAAACAAATAAAATAAAACCCTACAAAGACAAAGCAAATATGGCAAAATGTTAACTAGTGAATCTACAGAAAGATTTTTTTCTAGTCTTTCAACTTTTCTATAAATTTTTAAATTTTCTAAGTAAAATGTTTGGGTGGAGTTTGATAAATCGTGACAGGACAACAGAACATCTATACAGAAAATAAACTTGACCCCCACTTTATACCATATACTGTCAATAGGAGAATGGCTAAACAAATTGTGATATGTTCATACAAAACAGTACTACTCAGCAGTATAAAAAGGAAAGAATTGATCTATTCAACAAAAGAACTTAGACACAAAAAGAGTACATACAGTATGATCTGTTTATATGAAGTTCTAGAGTGATGGTGAAAAAAAGAACAGTGGCTTCCTCTCGGGGGTGGGCAGGGACTTTCTAGGGAATTTTGTGTGATGATGGAAACGTTCTATATCTCAACGGTGCAGGTTACATAGGTGCATCCATTTGTCACAATTTATACAGTTTAAGATTTATAAATTTACCTTTTAAAAATTAACAGGAGGGTGGGGAGTGGGTATATATGAAATAAGAATGGCAGTTGGTGAAACCAGGTGATGGGTACAAGAGGGTTTACCATACTGTTTTAACTTTGCACAAGTTTCGCTTTTCCATAATAAAAAAGAAGGAAAAGGGAGCCAGAGAAGTTTGGGTTTGAACCTTACTCTCATCCCATTTTAGCTGCAAGGTAACACCCATGAACCTCTATTTTCAACATGTAAAGATGAGAGTAAGATAATAGTCACATTTCAGGATGAGTAAGGGCTAGGGCTCCTGTGCTTTGGTGAAGGAGGTAAAGAAAGCAACTTAACCAACTAAAGCAGCCTGGTGAGGTACAGGTCTGGAACAGTGGGAAACTGGATGAATGTCAAAGATGGGGTCAGACTGAGGGAGGCGTTGAATGACAGGATTAGTAACCCTAACCCAACAGGCAGTTGGAACCCACTAGATATTTTAAGCATTTTTTAAGATGTCAAGTTATGTATATTGTTAGTAGTTAACTTAGAAACATACAATAAAGTTACACTAAGAACAGGACAAATAGGTGGACTTTAAAGATTATTATTTTTAGCCTGATGACACCGAGGACTTTCCTGGGAAACACACCGGTTCTTATAAACCACTTATTTAGGGCAAGAGAAGGGCATGGAACTCAATGTGTTAAAATGGGTTAGCTGTGGGTACTTTTAACTTTTAAACCAAATTTGAGTTCATATTTTAACTATTTTCAAATATAAGAAATAGAGGGATGATAAAACAATAACTTATCATCCATGCTAAGGTTATCAGTCCAAATGTATAACACAAAGAGACAATGAATATAGGTTAATTAAAATGTAGGCTTAAACTTTGTCTAATTAATTTACACTCATTCTCAAATGTTAGTTTGAGTCATTTCTTGAGGAAGCCCTTGACCACCTCTCCCTTCCCAAGTTTAGAACGGGTTTTCTCATTATACATTCATAGGACCATATTTTGTTACTTCAGAACATTCATTTGTTATTGTTTATAATTGTTTAGTATCAGGCTTCTCTCACTAAGTTCTACGAGAGAAGGTCTGGATTGGTTTTACTTTCTGGTATCTCCCAAGTGCCAAATACAGTGCCTGGCACAAACCAGGAGCTCTATATTTGAGTAATTCTTACATCAAAGAGTAAATTAAAACTCTCAATCAGACTACTTAGGAATCAAGGAAAATGAGAATATTACATTGTCCGGAGGACTGTGGACAAAGCTATTCTGAAGGAGGGAAACTCACAGTTTCAATCCTTTATATAAACAAACTGAACATTCTATTCAAGAAATTGGGGG